GGGACAGTGCGGCATGATGCTTCCGTGAGGAAACGTTGCCACCATGTCAAGGCGTCCGACTTGTTGTAGTCGTCGAACTTGCTGATGTCGAAGTGCGGCATTTTGTAAGTCTTCGTAGCGGCGTCCGGTCTCGTCTGCAGCTTGGTGATGTCCGTCTTGATGGCGGCCACCGTGCTACTGATCGTGTCCGGCCCATTGAAAACACCTATGTCGCCGATGATGGTGACGACGTGATCGATGCGCTCATTGAGTTGCCTCGTCGCATCTGTCGTGCAGCCTGGCGCTGCTGAGGCGTTAGCCTCAATGCTGTTGATGCGTGCGAGAGCGGAGTTCAACAGCTGATGCTGTTGCTGCTGCTGCGTTGCTTCGGCRCGGATGGCAGTTGTTAAAACAGCAATGTCTTGCTAATACTTTTGTCGCTGCTGTCGTTCCGTGCGCAGATGTGCTTGCAGCAGTGCGTTATTCCACATGATTCCTCTCATCATGCCCAACATCAAATTAGCCAGGTGAGTCCTCTCTGCCTCCGCCGGTGTCGGATCTGCCTGCGCGTCCGAAGGCACAAAGATCATGCCTTGGAGGAACGTTGTCCACTGACTTTCACTACGAATCAGGGACTCCGTACTGGCGGCATGCCGTTTGTCTCGTGCCGCTGCGTCAGCCTCAGCAGTCTGCTGAGCGTGGGCTGCCGCCTCATTGGCCAGCCGCTGACGTTCTGCCTCTGCTGCCTCCTGCTGAGCCTTGGCGGCAGCTACGGCATCCGTAAATACCTGTAGCCGCCCAAGATAGTCAGCCAACGGTTCACAGGCCCCTCGGACCGGGCATGCGGGAAGAACTCCGGTGGTGTCCGGTACCGTCAATGCTATACTCGATGCCGCTGGAGTCGTCCGCCTGCTGAGTCTCTGTTGCTGAGCCTTGGTTCGTGGAGGTACCGTAGGTCGAGCACGAACTGCGAGCCTGGCACTGCGCCGTGGCAGTGCCCCGGTATCATGTTCCATCGACATCAGTGTGGACTGATGCGGTACTTGAGAGGTCCCGGTGGTCACAGAATACGGGGAGGGTAGGGAGAGTGGGAACAGGGGTAGAACAATCAAACAATACGCATACAGTCCCCTGTCCCACTGATGGACTGTAGACACCTAATCAAACAGAAAAATAAATTTCCGTAAACCATTCAAAAATTCATAATAAGGAATTAATAATGATTTAATCAATAATTAATTAATGATAATTACGAAATAATTCCTAATGATGATCAATAAAACAATGTTTGTAATAAAGATAACCAATAATCATTATTTGCAATAAGGATAATCAATAAACAATAGTTGCAATTATGATAATAAACGAATTTGAAAGGTATTATGACTAGGTCTCTTTGAGATCACTTTGAGTCCGGGAGTTCCCCGTTAAGGAATGAACTACCCGGAAGTTGCAGTTTGAGGGTCAGATACGGCTTAGTGTGCTAAAAAAATTTTCGGAAAATTTCAGAAGAAAAACGCTCGAATTTGCAAAAACGTGAATTTTCAGGAATTTCCTCCGTCAAAATCCGATTTTTAAAGGCCTAAACCCGTTTCGGAATTTATCAAAGCAAAGGAAAGAAAAAAATTTCGCGAAAATTTCGGGCCCAAGCCTAATTTTCCGCGTTTCGCGAAATTTCCGGATTTACGGTTCCAAAACGTTCGAATTTCCCAAGTTAAGTGAAAACCAAAATTTCGTAACCCTAAATTCCCATACTGAAGAAAACGGAAATACCAATTGGAAAACGAAATACAGGATTAAAACCCAGAATGCCGAAATAAAAAGAATACTGAGTTAAACCTAATTACGAAATCCTAATCAGAAATCCAATCAAACAGTATGTCGGATTAGTATCTATTTATCGGAACCTAAATGAACAGCATACCGACATAAAACAGAAATCTGAAATATAAGTCTGAATAACGAATTGAAACGGAAATGCCGAAATAAATAGGATACCGAAAACAAATTTTGCAACTTTGAACTTGATAGCAATACAGCGCTGATTTGGAAGATTGAAGAAACAATCTAATTCCTAAATCAGTCTTACCTGGTGAGCAGATCCGTAATTGGTCTGCTCCGATACCAATACTGTTACATACTTCAATGAGTATGGGCAGAACCAAAGATCAACCAATGTAGGATGAGCATATATGCAGCGGAAGTCTGATAAACGGACTGACTCACATAGCATCACTCCACACACATACAATCGTGAGATGGTGGGGTCTGGGCCAAGCATGGACGATGCCCAGATCCCGTACACACATACACAGATGAAGGTGGGAGGAGAGACGACGGAGGTGGGGGAGGTAGACAGCACCGATAGGTCACCGAGATAGAATCCGATAGGTCACCGATATGGTAGTCCAAAATGT